AAATTCAATGATACTGAACTCTAAATTCATTCGGTCTATTAAAAATTTGCTTTAATTTACAAAATTGTAACATGCAATCCTGAGAATCATATTAGGGCACAGTACATGGAGGTAAAAGATGCTGCCTTTGAAGATATGGATTGCTTCTCATGTAGGCACATCAAAAATCCTTTTATAGTAATTAGTTCAGATATTGATAACTGTAGTTGTACCAGCAAGAGGCTCATTTTGGCATCCAGTTGGATGTGTATTTTACAGCCAGCTAGTACTGAATTATATCTTCCTAAGGCTGCACTGCTAACAGTATGTAAAACAGCAATTTTGCAACTACGTTTTTACCATTCCATGTACTGCAGTCACACTTTCAACGGCTAAGAAGACATGCTCAGAATGACAATCACTGCTAGTATGAGAGATACTGAAAATGATGATGACAAATATCTAGCTCCAAAAACATCTGTTGACTTCAGGTGTCAACCTAGTACTCAGTTTTCAAAAGTGTGTACTCACAGAGACTGAACACATAGTCCTGAAAAGTTTCAGTTTGGGCATCTACAAACTGAGGAACTCAAAACTGGTTGGCACTAGAAGATACGAGTCAACAGAAGGCTGCCTTTCACATCGACAGGGAAAACAATTATCTCATTTGCTTAAATTTGCTTGTTTTTACTGAAGGCTTACTGTGTTGCAGGTTTGTATACACAAAATACTTACCTATCACTATAAATACATGTGCTGTTGTAAGAACTATGGTGTAATAAAAGACTATTTTTTGGAGCCACCTGGTCCTTGGAAACCTCCATAGGGTTCTAACTTCCAGCAGCAGAACCAGCCCTTGGGAGTCTTGGCAAATGCCAACCGAAGTTATGAAAAGTCTTTCCTTGGAGGTCAGTGGCTATATTAGGTCTTCAACACACAGTCCTTAACAGTCAATGGGTATGCTGAGACCAAGACAGACATAAAAAGGAAAACACTCCTTTGCAGTTCCTGTCTTTCTGAAAATATGGGGTATTACTATACCGGGCATTAGGGAGCTATTTAGCATTGCCTGCTGTAAACTGTTACCCAGACCAAGCTTAAACATCCTGGGTAGTGTGAAACTGCGGACAATGCCGGTTCAATCAAAAGGTCTTAAAAACACCTTTTTTTTTCTGTAGTCTGACATGCTAGATATCATTTGGGAAACAGTGGCCTGTGTGCCTAAGACAGATTACCGTATCTTTTAAGATTTTTAGGTTACAGGGGAGGCAGTATGTAGCTGCAGAATTTAATCTAAGCTTAACATAGAGCAGAGGCCTCAAAGTGAGGTCAAAGCCTCATTCAAGTGGTATAAACCTAGTATCTTCCACAGCCACCACTTCTATTTATATTATTTTATGTTCTCTCATTAAAAGGGTGGCGGTCTGCACTGAAAATCACACCTAGGTATAACTGGTTAACACTCAGATCTTGATCACTCAGCCCTGGGTAACAAACCTTGATTTTTCTGCCCTAGTGGAAGTGATTTTATTCTGATGCATGCCATTTAAATTCATTTTACATAGCTGCTTAAGTGTGGCTTGGCAAGCCAGAGGGAAACCAGCTTTCTATGTCTAAATGTGACTCCTGAGCTGGTGAAGGACAGATCCTGTGGATTAACTGCTGAAGATAAATTTCTCTCTCCCATTGATACTTGGCTAATGGGTCAACAAGTTGTCCTTGAAGGGAATCACAACCAAATTACAGAAATAGGTCTGTGTAACTCTGACAGAACCATTTAATTTTCTTCTTAATTCTACATAGAGGGGTATGTTTTATAGTAATAAAAGTCTAACAGTTTTTCAGTCCCACAGCCAAATCTTATAAGCGTAAGACATTAAAGTGAAAAGGCTGGACAGTATTCATGCCCTTTGGCATACAACAGTGAATGTCTTTCCAGATGAAATAACATGATGTGAGTGCTTCTCCATTTCACTAATTTTTGCTTTTTGAACAGGAAAACCAGTAGACTTGCACTCTAATTTTAAGTTTTGCTTTGTACTTTTTTCATATGCACCTATATGAACAATGTTATTAAGGAAAACAAACAAAAACAGCTATAGAAAACTGGTAATTATAACTTGTTAATAATCACAAAGGTAGCTGTAATGTTGGTATTATAGATACCCTATGGAGGTAACAATTGAAATAACATGATGGCAGGGAAGTCCATGAAACTTGAATCTCAGGTGAAGCTGGACTTGGTTGTGAGGGAGCCATAGGCTGGCAGCCAGTGTGGATACTTTCTCCCAGTGCTACAGTTACAGAACTGACAGAATGAAGGACTCCGGTGAGTGAACAGAAGCTGCACTTCAGGCAAATGTTTTGCACTGGATACTTAATGTTCCTAAAAAATATTCTAGTGACTAGCTGAAAGTTTTCCAACACATGCGTGCTCAATTACAGTGTAATAAAAGTTTATTGAAAATACCATTAAGAAACCCTGTCATCACTCCTGCAGTACACCACTTGTCAGAAAGGGATCATGCTTCAGGGGTTGCAGCTCACTCACTGCCCAGGCTGCAATGACAACACCACCACCCAGTCAAGCACACTGTTACACAGCACTGCTGTGAGACAAGAGCACTAACAACAAGGGGAGAAAGATGATGCCTGAGTCAGGGGAGGAGGGATCTAATTCCTTCTCAGTGATCAGGCTCTTCATTTCCCTCTCAGGCACAAGGAAACAGAGCCATGTCAAAAGCCATGCAGGTTTGTGAGCAAGTGATACGCAGATTTTCATCATATTGTCACAATGGTGTAGAAAGAAAACAAAAAAAAAGAATCCCCTTGACAACGCAATTTTTTCTTTCACATTATTTTATATTTCTTCAGCAGCCACGTGGCACATTCATAAACACTAAAAAAAATTGCCAAGGTCCCACAGCAAGTCCAGTTAACGTTGCTATCTACCCATACTGGTCAGGCTGGTGCATCAAGGGAGCCTTAGCATTGCTATAGTTGGGGTGCTGTGAAAAAACATGGGGTACCCACCCACCCCAGACTGGCTGGGATAAGCAGGCAACTTAATGTATGGTGGCTTAAAGCCTTCTTTGGATTTGCTCTGTATCACAAATAGGAATCACTGTCAAGTACATTCCTTTCATGTTCAAGTATAGAGGAGTTGCAGGAACAGCCAAAAGCCATTAAGCTTTCTCCCCAGCAGTTGACTTGAGGTCAATTAGGAAAACAGTGTGCTTGCAACCCCCTTGGCAACAGAAAGGTGTAACAGGTTTAGCTCCAGGTCATAAATAGTCCTTTTGACAGTGTTTCCAACAGAGATCCAATGTTTGCTCAGCCATTCCACAGGTGCTGGATCACTGGAATGGGAAGTATGTGATGGAAAGGCTCTGAAATGGGGCAGTTTTGCCCACAAAACGCTAGAAACCAAAATCAGTTCTACAAAGCTGACTTGGGAGCAAGGTGTGAGATAGGAGTGGTAATAATTTCACCTAGAGTTTGATGAAACACCACATACTATGCCCAAAGTCCAAGCTGAATCACATTCAAATACTTTCTGCTTAACACAAAGTTTTTTCTTACTTTAAAAACCAACAAAGTGAGCTTCTCTTTTCATTACATGATTATAAAGTGTTCCTGCAGCTGCAGTGATGGCCCATTTATTCCTTCTTGCCTTACCTATCAGCTTATACCCTAAACCAGACAGACAGAAACAGATTTTTGTAAATCCCACTAGACAGGTCTTTTAAGAACAACCAACAGAAGCAAGAGACTGCTGGTTCAGGTATCTGCTGGAATACAGTCTATTTTAAGGGTGTGTGGTTCTCTTTTACCAAACAAGAACATGAGGTACACTAAATTTACTGTCATTGTTTTAAAAGCTTGCTATTGCTTATCACTAAAAGCTACCAGCCTTCCAAACTCACAAAACAAGAAAGCAATAGATAGAGGGACACATTAACTTCCTACTCTTAGATTGTGTCTTGGAATTAGAGCAACTCTGTATGCATATACATGCATCTGTGTATGCATATGTATAAATAAATGCAAGATGCTTAATACACACACACATACGTGGTCACCAGAACAGTGCAATGAGCTTTGTGCAATTCTCAAATGTAATGGAACTTCTTGTAACAGAAAAAGACAATAAATACACCAGGAGTTATTTGAGTCCAGGGAAATGTGGAAATTACTTAATCTGAAAAATTTCCCAGAAAATACAATTTCATTGCCAAGTATTCAGGCATCTTAAGAATAACCATGACCTGAAAAGTGCTATTGCCAAAATCCATGCACAAATGGCAACACGTAGTTATGCTGCCCAAAAGGGAGACAAGAAACCAGATAATGGCTCCAACCTCTACAATCCTGTTTCCAGGTTCTCTCTTACAGATGCGTAAGTGGCAGTTATCAACTCCAGATAACTACAGATTGCTTTTATGCCTCCTTCTGGCTATCCTCTCCAGCTGCTCCCCTCAGTCTGCTCTCCTCTCCCCCTCTGCAAGCCTGCCCAGGAACAAGAACATCCTGTAGAAGGGAACAGCCATCAGCACCGCTGCTCACAATGTGGACTGTAAATGCAAGAGCTGATGGGCAGCTTCCTTACTCTCTGGCAGAGACAAGCTGTCAAGGACATGCTGGCCTTCTCTGTACCAGAGATAAAAAACATATATCCAGCTAATCAATTTTAAATTGCAGAGGGCTTGTTTTTGACTCCTAATGTCACTGCAACCCAGTGGGTTCTCCTAAAGCTTATAGTGCTAAGAATCAAACTGGAAGTGACCATGATCTCCACTGTCCTAGCTGGTCTTTGTGGGGATAATTCAAACACGCAATAGCACGCCTTCTCCTTACATTTAAATAAAAGTATTCTTCCCACATACCGTCTTGCCCCAGAGGTAAGGGGACAAACAGAACATGTATAAAAGCATGTGCATACACCTATACAGTGCTGTTACTTCAGAAATTAAAGTAAAATAATTCCTACTCATTGAAACTCCTTTCACCTGGACGCATACCTGCTCTGAGCGGAGTTTGCAGCAGCCTGCATCACTGCTGCAGCTGCCTCCTGTGCCTTACGGTTCACAGTTGGCATGGGTGGGCCCATCCCAGGGCCTCCCTGCTGAGACATGCCAGGAGAATTGGGGGTCATACTGCTCATGTTTCCAGGAAATGGTCTGCTCTGCATCCCAGCTGATGGCATCCGTCCCAGGGGCATGGTACTGCAAGGCTGGCTTGGCCCCTGTCCATGCATCTGGCTGTTGGCATTTATACCCATGCCGGGTCCTGGGCCACTGTAACTTGTGTTGGGCACGCCGCTGTATGTCGGTGGTCTGGAGTAGTTTCCTGAACAAAATGATAAAAAGCACGAGAGAAAAACATTAAATTTTAAAGAAAATACTTCTGTTTAGGAAGTTAGTAGCTGCAGAACTTGCACATGTGACCTGAAGTGAACCATGTTGGTCTCAAAATCAGAACAACTCTTTCATGATGGGGATAGACAAGCAGTGGAACAAGCTGTCCAAGGACGTTGTGCAGACTCCCTCCTTGGAGGTTTTCAAGACCCAATTGGATAAAGCCACAAGTAACCTGCTTTGATCTTATATCTGACCACAATTTGCACACAAGGTCAGCCAAGAACAACTGCTGAGGAATCTTCCAAACTGAATGATCCTTTGAAGCTCGTTTTCATGTACCCTCAAACATTTTCTGCCTAAAACATGTAATGGGACAATAGTAAACACAGAAAAGTACAGCCTCCAGAGGGTTAACAGCACAGCAGACAGTACAAAACCATCGTGTGCAGTAAAGAGATATGTGGCATGTAGGAAATCCATTACATAAGCTCAAGGGAGAATCTGATTTTTGTAATTTCATGTTCTCATTCTTCATCTTCCTGCAATTTCCCCAACAGGCTATTCTCGCCGCCTTCTTGCTCCTAACCGTTCTGCCCATTTGGGTCAGAGATGCTTTGGCATGGACTGCTGAGGACGGCTGCTGGGCCCTGAGAAACACTCCCACTGCCTCCTGCCCTACCCTGCTTTCCTGCTAAGTTTGAAGTTTGTCTACGCCAGTAGAAGAGGTGGTATCTTACAGTGCATCTCCTTTGGGAAAAGCAGCATTACAAGAGTAACAGCAGCAGTACAAGGAGGCTAATATTAACAGGTGCCTTATGAAGGATGGCATGAAAACCTGGCTGACTTCAATTTATGTTGTCACTGGAGCAAACTGCTCTGCTTGCAGCAGCTTAACTCATTTGAGTGGTGATTTTCCTATCATGCTGAAAGCTCAAGAAAAAGCCAGTGTATAGCATTCAGTGTTACAGAAACAAACCCAAGCAGCATGAGAAAGAGGAAAAAAAAAAGCACAGATATGATAGAAAAGTATTTTAAGAAACAGATCACATTACACTACTTCAGTCATCAGTTTTGACTTGTCTTTATTTCCATCTCATCCAGATTAGTGGAAACACGACCCGTTCCCTCCCTGTGGGACGCCGCAGAGCAGAGTTTCCTGACTCCTCTCAGATATTCCCACGCTCGTCCAAAGGCAGCAGCCCTTGGACTCTGCATCTGAACATGGAGATCAGCCACCTCCCTCCTCAGGCCTCAACGACCAGGCAGAGGAGTTGGTGGCATGCAACTCCTATTTATATTTAAAAGAAATACATTAATCCATCATTTGAATGCACACATAATTAATTAATATGCTCCTGCTCCTGTGCTTTGGCTAATCCCCCTCCTCCCCACCTGGTAATGGACTCACTCTGCTACAAGTTCTCCTCTGCAAGAACATGTGAGCCCCATGCTTCCCAAGAAAATGGAGCAACAATTCTGTTTTAGAAACAAGTTTCTGCCTAGAGGTCCTCACAGAGGGATCCTGAATATGTGGTTCAACAGAGATGAAAGGGTCCAGATTCTGCTTTATGCTGACTTCAGGCTGCCCTGTCACTTCTCCTCTCCTCTAGGCTTGGCTGCTGGCAGCTAATTCTGTTCAGTGAGCCACTGCCCCTAGCCACACCTTTTGTTGCCAAGATCTGCTCAAGCCACACTTCTGATCCAACTTCCATGACCATGAACTAAAGGGTTCAGTAGTTCCATACTACTCTGTTTAGTGTTAAACCTCAGGCCTCAACGACCAGGCAGAGGAGTTGGTGGCATGCAACTCCTATTTATATTTAAAAGAAATACATTAATCCATCATTTGAATGCACACATAATTAATTAATATGCTCCTGCTCCTGTGCTTTGGCTAATCCCCCTCCTCCCCACCTGGTAATGGACTCACTCTGCTACAAGTTCTCCTCTGCAAGAACATGTGAGCCCCATGCTTCACAAGAAAATGGAGCAACAATTCTGTTTTAGAAACAAGTTTCTGCCTAGAGGTCCTCACAGAGGGATCCTGAATATGTGGTTCAACAGAGATGAAAGGGTCCAGATTCTGCTTTATGCTGACTTCAGGCTGCCCTGTCACTTCTCCTCTCCTCTAGGCTTGGCTGCTGGCAGCTAATTCTGTTCCGTGAGCCACTGCCCCTAGCCACACCTTTTGTTGCCAAGATCTGCTCAAGCCACACTTCTGATCCAACTTCCATGACCATGAACTAAAGGGTTCAGTAGTTCCATACTACTCTGTTTAGTGTTAAAGGTATAACACAGACCTCAAATGTTGTTCTGGTTTTCAAGTTGCTTTGTGCAAGAAAAATGTAGTGCAGCAAGATGGTGCATACACGCACTCAAAGACTATGCACAGCCAGTTAACACATTTCATGTACATGTTCATAGTAACACTGCTTCCCATAGTGAAGCAAATTCTCTCCCTAGACCAGCAGATACCCATAATCACTGGAAACTACTGTCAGTTCAATTTACATAAAGCCAATTTGTTTTGTCAGTTAGGGTCTA